TCTGGTTAAACTGGAGCATGCCGCACTTGCCCAAGTTTAGAATCTGATAAATGGTTTATGAGATACAAATGAACAAAGGAACAGACAAAACCCCTTGGACCTAATCAGTGTAATTACAGAAATGCTGGAGCGCAGCGTGAGATGCATCACTTTCACAGGTTTTGGCAAAATCTGAACAAGACTAGCCAAGGAAACAGATGGATGGATGAGCGAATGGTGGAACAAATAACGAAATGTTTGCTGATGGTATGGAGGACATTCTATTTAAGAAATGCAGGAAATGGCCAACAGAGCATGTATTTATTATAGAAGCGTTTGAGGAAACATGAGAAAAGAGTTAACCCTGTAAGGCTGCAGCATTAAGAACATGTATGTCAGTGCAAAACTGAGTTAGCTTCCTGCTTTAGCTTTAGCTGTTAGCATGACAAACAGGTTTAAAGGCGCCAGAAAACACATGTTCTTATTCCCTTCTACTTCTGTGTGAAGGAGTCCCGCATAAACTTAACCTCTTCTGTGAAAGTTTCCACATGTTTGGTTATTTTTTGTGAGATTTTATTGTTCTTTATTTGTGTTTCTGAGATATTTCACTAGTTCACAAGTGGGCGGAGCTTGTTTGGAACAACGTGATGTCACAGATCCTTGCATAGCAGTTGTGGTTGTGTAGCCGAGCCGCTGTCAATCAAACTGATGCACTACATCCTCACAGTCCTGACACAGGGTTAGTTTCTGACTGGTCAACTTTAGTCAATAACAACTAAGGATATTTCTTTCCAAACTTTAATTTAGACTTTTGTATATTTAGTCTATGTTTGGTACAATGTTCAGTTTTTCTTTCCCAAACAATATTTCATTTCAGCTGGATCTTTTTATAATCAGAAGACAAGCTATATATATATAGAATATTTTCTTACCATATTATTCAAGTTTGTAAAGTTAGCTTAGTGTCACTGAGTTCTCTGAATGTCAAGAAACTTTAGAATTTTGAAATTCCATATAAATATGTATCTGTCAAGTCAAAGTGAGAAGACTTTTTGTTAACCTCCACCACGAAAGTTAGGTTTTTGGTCCAGTTTATTTTTAATCAAGGACAGAAGGATTACTAAAAAACAAACATCTCTTACAAAACTCTGAATTCACTTCTTAGCCAAACATTAATTTTTATTTCTTCCATATGTTTTTCCTTTGTGAGTCAGAAACTTTAAAATGTGTGCGTGTTTTTGTATTGAAAGCTGGCCATCAAAGCAAACATCAGAAGGGTTCTAAGCATTCATCACAGTTGCATGGCTGCAGTGTCCCTGTTAGCTCACATTCATGCATGTAATTCAGTGTCCAGCATTACTGATTTATTATAATAATCTTTTGGAAAATGATAAATTCCACCAAGGAGGTTATATTTTCAGTTTGTCTGTTTCTCAGAACTGCCCTAACTTTCATGAAACTTGATGAAAAGGTAAAGCCAAGGAAGAAGTCATGATATACATTTGGAGCGGATCAAAATAATAGGGTACTTTAATTATTTTCTCTTTTGTTATCATGGGAGGCAGGGCTTTTACACATCTTCTACAGTTATTTGATAATTTAGAACATAATGTGCTTATTCATATTGTATCACCTTTGTGCCGACTGCTATTCCACTATGGGATGTTTGTAAATAGTTATTAAAACGGATTGGGCTTATGATCAAATGTATTGATATTTCATATCATTTCAATACTGATGTTACGTCACTACAGAAAGGTGTTTTTCACAAAAACACAGCATGTCATAAACCCCTTTGTCCAATAAATCCAATCTATAAAACGCGTTGACATAATGATGATTATAAAGCATCTGGAGAGTATTATGTTTGTGTTTCTGATACAGTAACATTAGAGAGTTTTGCAGATCTCTGAAAAAAACAACTTCAGTTTGCTCTCCATAAAATATTTTTCCAATCACACAGAGATAAATGAAAAGTATGCAGCAGAATGAAGAGATAAACTAATTATAAATAAATACAAGGTGACTAATCATAAGTAATCCAGCAGTGGAGCCTTGGCAGACTCCCCAGTGAGAGCAGGAAGGAGCTGCAGTGATTTCCCTCAGGCAGACATGCCATTTAAGTGTGCTCCATTGTTGTGGGTGAGATCCATTAGACCTCACTCCGGTTTGCCACATCAAAGCAACTTCTCATATATGGATTATGTGTAAATAGAGTTTAGGAAAAAATCATCAAGTGACCTATTTGACTTGTTCAATACGTTGAAAAGGGAGAAAATGTGTTTTCATCTTGCGTACATCCATCTGTGTGTGTTAATGTGTGCCTGGATGTGTGTGTAAACAGCTTAATGGAACCAAGCGGATTTCATAATGGAAAAGGCCGACCGCAGCGTAGCACGAAAGTGTTGTTACGATGTGGATTACACTTAAAAGCAAAATCAAATCCAAAATCAACTTAAAGGATAATTCATTAAAAAAGAAAATCTGATACTCAGAGGCTTCTTTGGCCTGAGAGTCGTTCAATAAGCAGGTGAAAGTGGAAGGCATAGTCACCAACTCCCCATCCTCAGCATGGACTGGAATATGTTCCAACATTCATACTGGAATCCTCCTAAAAGTCCCTAAATCAAATGAGCAGTTAAGCTAAATGAGGATAATGATTTTGAAGCATTTCACAGTCATCTAAGTATTAATGCTGATATTCAGAGATATTCCCACAAAATCATGTTTAGAGTGCTTCATAGAACCTCCAGCCAAAGCTCCGTTTAAATGTCAGCCGAATCATCCCTCCAGATTGTTTGATTTCCTGCTAATCTGAACATATTGCTTTTGTGCATTTGCAGTAATACTCAGCTACAAGAGACATTTTGGAGTACTCTTTTATAGTTTACCTTCAATTTGATGAATTCAAACTGTAGTTTCTTTGTTTTTATGTTGGTACCAGTGTTTGCTGAGCTTCTTTGCGCACCTCGCCTCTTCTTCTGTGACTGTGAGTCAGACCAGGTGTTGCCTTGGACTCACATCTGAATATTAGCAGTCATTTTTAATCAGTTCCAGCGTCAGTCTTTTATCATCTAAAAATATCCCTACAGTAAGGACAATCCTGTGCAAACATGATCTTGAACAGTGAATCCAGAAATAAGTAATAAGTACGGCCCAGGTGTTACTGATAACACTAACGATGGCTCGGCTGTATCACGCGTCTCAGCAGGCCGTGGCAGAAGCTTTGTTTCCATAAACTTATTTTTATGCGCATTTTGAATAATCACAGTTAAGTTTTAAGTGTATGCTCGCTTGAGGTGGTTTCTGCTTTGTTGAAAGGGAGTTAGGCTACGTTCCAAAACGCATACTGTTCTACTTTTAGTATGTACTGCAGCTGTTACAAAGTACATACTGTTGCTTGACACACACTGTGACCCTCTTGCTTACACAGTATATGCATTGTGCAAAGGATTGTGGGTTTGTATGCCGGCTTGCATCATGCAAAATGTGACAGGATGCAGTGGTATATCCTGGTATTTTTGACAAACTGCATTTAATATACTTTATATGGGGTATAATACAGGGTGTGTTCCAATACTCATACAGTTAAGTATGCCAGAACAGCATTTCAATCAGGAGAGACTTCATTTTGTTTAAAGAACATTTATTGACACGTCATATGATAAATGTTAAGTCTTTGGCGATTCGACTCCGATCCTGAAATCGTATATCTAAAAGGGGGAAATGCAGCCGTGAGCATAAGGACACCCCCCCAGGGTCTAGACACTGGTGATGATGCTGAAGATCTGGATTTGATGAGGAGATGGGATGAAGAGGAGGTGTGATGAGGTCTTTGGATTAGCTCTCCTGGCACTGGATATGATGAAAGGAGGTGGATGGGGGGGGGGGGGGGAGGCGGGCAGCAGCATGACAACCTATAATGCAGCTGCAGATCCAAAGTCATTTCCACTTAAGCGTCCTCTAACAAAAGTACAACTCATGTTCTAACATTAAGAATATACCATATGACGGGTTATTCTTAGAGATGGGGGGGGGGGGGGGGGGGGGGGGGGGCAACAGGGTCCAGTGCCCCTGTAACACTGAGCTTGGACCCCCCTCCAAAAGATGAAACCTTGATAATGCAATGTGTGAGTGTTGTGGCAAAGACTGAGCCGGGCCAAAGCTAACAGGAGTGTTGTTTCTTTTCAATAAAGTCATTTAGGAATATTGTAACGTTATTGAAACAAATTCTGTTACTACAAACACCAACACAATTAAAGAAATAAAATAAATGTTATTTATTATTTATACTGAACTAAAACTGCTGTACTCTTCAACACGGCCTTTGTCTCCTTTGTTCCCCATTAAATAAGCCCCTCTCATCTCAACTGGCCCAAGTTTTTTGCAATTATTGTTGCATGATTTTCTTAGCATTTAAAGCAACTTTGCAACATAAAAGTCTGTTGACTCTTTAGAGTGATTTCCTGTGCTGTTGGAGGCATGTCTGCGTCCTCATCCCGTGCAGCAGCATTGTTTCCGCCCCCCCGAGGGGCTCCGACGGGCTCCGAGGGGCGCAGACTCACAGATAAGCCCATCAGCCATTACCGGGTTCCTCCTTCAGACCTATTAGGTCTTGCAAGGACTTCAAACACCAATTTGTTCTGCAAATAGCCCATTCAATGTGTGGCTGCCAAAGAGAGACACCTCTCTGCCTCTCTGCAGTAATTGAATCTTCAAAGGGACATTTTCCTCTATTTCTGTCAGGTATTAGAGTGATGAATAGCAAACGGTCATCTGAACAGAAAGAGAGGATACATGTTTATCCATGTTCAGTTAGACGCTCATCATGCACCTTGTTGAGTGCACGGCTGGAAACTGAGTGGATCTTAAAAAATGTTCAGAGGTAAGGCAGACGAGGGGTTCAGGGGGGGGGGGGGGGGGGGAAATCAGGAAAGCAATACAAGATAAAAATACACTAAAATAAACAACTAGTGTAACTTTGACTAGATTGACGCTATAAAATGAATTTAAGGAGCCGCTTAAATCTTCAATATTTTTATTAATTAAATACACCATACTGGAGCAAATGTCTCGGAAAGTATCACAAATAAATTCTCTTTCATTCGGCATTTATATGTTGGTGATGATCTCTACATTACTGACTATGAGCACATTTCTTCTGTTGCCATGGGTTGAGTCTGGAGGGTGGGGGGGGGGTGGAGTGTGGAGGGTCAGATGTACTGTAGCCACGCCTGGACAACGACATTAACATGCATACTGTACATACATGGTAGTTTACAAATACACCAAGAGTGTTCATGATTTGTTTTCCACAAAAAGCCACTGATTTTTTTAAAACCCCATCTTCTTCTACATACCACCAAAGAAAAGAAAAACACATTCCCCTTTGACAACACTTAAAATATATAAAGTGGGAACACCATGTTTTGGGGAAATCAGGATAGAAAAGGAAGAGAGGAAAAAATGAAAAAGGTCCCAGGTTTTCCCCGAAATGTCTTTAAACAAATATGCAGAGTTTATAAAGCCTGCATCTCTTCTCTTCATTAGTCTTTTTCTCAACATCTCTCGTGTGTTGGATCATTTTCTCTACAGTGAGAGTCCCCTTGGATTTTCTTTCTTTTATTCCAAGGTTGTGGAGTCCTCAGAGTCCAGATTCAGGTGCATTAAGTGCAAGTGTCCGCCCATATTTACGGAGAAGCCGAGGTTGAAGCTGGGCTCTGGGCAGCAGAAATCAAAGTCATGTAACTGGTAGGATGGGTGGAGGATTCCTCGGGGGGGCAGAGGGCCTGGAGCACAGCTAAAAGGCTGGGCTGCTGGTCCACGCTGTCTCGGTGACATGAGTGAGGGCTAAAATGAAGGCACACGTCCTGCTTCCTGCTCAGCTCCCGCCTAACACACCTGGATAGTGAGAGATCAAAGATAAGACATTTTAGAATGGTGCGCCGTCATTAGTTCACATAATGACATGAATGTTTCACCCTGATAAATCAGCTTCCCCCCAGTGTTTCATTTATTGATCAGCCAGGCTTTGAAACCCATCTGGTGTCCCATTTACTTTGCATTAACTTAAAAGTGCATCCATGACGCGATTCTCTTTGGTATAATCATAACGGCGCTCAGCCTGGCACACAGAAACACTTTCTTTTTCTTCTTTATGATTCTTAGGGGCGATTTACTTTTCCCTTCATCCCTCAAATCACTAGGAGGGCTCCGGTCTATTAGTAATTGCAAACTCCTACTTGGGGGCTAATTAAAGTGACTGACGCTGGGAGGGTCTCGCTCCCCTGGGTCAAAGAAGCTCTGTGTGAGAGAGGTAATTTGTCTGTTCTGAACAAAGAGATTAGGAAGAAAGCTTAATAAATGAGCATCAAATGTCCCACGCCATGGATGCGGACAACACCAATTATGTTACGGCAAAATCGCACATAATCAAACCAACGGTCAGGAGATAACCCCCGTGTTTCCGTGTGAGCGGTGACTGCTTCATCTGCTCCGTGCTGAACCAGCCTGTGTTCCTCCAGTCAGTGTGTGGAGGACACCGGCTGTGTATTGATTCTGAACAGTGTTATCATTGTGGAAGTCAGGCTGATGCCAGGCCATCAGAACAGCGTTTTAGCAGCAGAAGTGATGTTTGTGTGATACAGTGCTGCAGCTCTCCTTCTTTCACTCAGGCAGATAACAAAGCATCCTGAGACGGTTCCCGCTGAGCGGTGTGTCTGTTTATTTCATAATTCTCTCTCTGCTATAATTAAAGCACCGGGGCCAATATTCAGATTGCATTTAAGCATCAATAATTCAGCAGTTTTCACTACAATTGATGTTAGCGCATAAATAAACAATGAGGCCTCATATTTACTACACCAGCCATGCTACAAGAGACATTGGGGGGGGGGCGGGGGGAATAAGGACTTAAACAGACATTTAAAATTAAGCTAGATAATGCAACGGCTTTCAATTTAAATGTGAGGAGCTCTAAGAGCTCTAAGAGCTGATTTGTAGAAGTGACAAGCCCTTAAAAGGCCTGTGACGTGGAGGGGGGAGGGAAGCGGGGGGGCTTAATGGAGTTCTACCTCTCCTCTACTCACAAAACCACTCAAGGTGAAATGCATGCTCCCAACAATATAATTCCTCTTTCAGTCAGACTCTGACACACTCCAAACACCCTCCATATCTGTGTGTGCTGTGTGTGCAGACAAGGTATCAATAAAGCTCTTGTTGTGAGGCAGAAATGATTATATCTCCTGCGGCAGAATGAAGCTATCCTGAAGAATGAAGTTATCCTTCGTATATGATTAGGCCTTCTGTTTTGCTTTCACTGGAGGCATCTAGATGAAATCAGGGAAGCCATGGTGACAGCTCTCATGATATACTGCTGCTGCAGCCGCTGTCTGTGTTCCACCTCGGGCCTGGATACTGACTTTGGCCTTGGAGGAATAACTTAGCCCAGGTGATCCCAGCCTTGTTGATAAGGAAGTCAGATGCCGTTTTAAACACTGTGTATTAATGGCATCCTGTGTCATTTTTCAGCAGGGTAGTTACTGTGGATCTGGATGGAAAATAAATTCAAGATGACTCAAATATGTTTCTGCTTATAAAAAAGCGTGTGTGGGAACAGCAGTACAGAATAAAATAATTTCACATGTTTTGTGCCGACGGTTAATACTGACTTTCTGTGTATCCTCCAAGAAGAATGATGGAAAAATCCATTGGCTGTCTAAAAATAAAATTCATCGTTGCTCGGAGAGATTTAGTATCTGCTGCGTGCCTCGCAGTGAAGTTGAACATCAATGTAAACAGAGTGAAAAATGTCACCGTGACAATTACAGATGTTTTTTCTTTTCCTGCTAATGACTCCCGCTGACTGATGGCATCTTTTACTACTCCTTAACTCTGAAGTTATGATCCCTCTGCTCATTTCAATACTTTGAAAAAGAAGCATAAAGAGCACTCTCCATCAGCAGACAGTGGGTGTTTCTCAATCTCGAGGAAGGCTCCTCCAGAGCCACTATTTCAAGGATGCTACGTCATCGAGTCCCGCCGAAGGACTGTTCCAATGTCCAGGATCCTTGGAATCCTACCGAGGCCGGCGTCCTTCGTTGCGGGAAATTTAGAGGCTGCACATGTGTATCCTCCACGGCCTTAAAATCCCCACAATGCTTTGCGCACGGACCAATTTCCCCAAATCTTTGACGGAAATCGCACTCCATTTAAGGCGGGGCCTCGCATATGACGCACACCTGCACACCTGTTAGCCTGTTCCACCATTCTTCGTTTTCCGAGGCTAGGAAGGATTCTTGCCTCGCATCTGAAGGACCTGACTCGGAAGACATGTCCTACCAAGGAAGCGTCGACATTGAGAAACACCCAGTGTGTGTGGGGGGGGGGGTCTTACCTTCTGGTCGGGCAGTAGTGGGTTCGTCTGCAGTGAACTCAAATGTCCGTTGATGAGTGCTGTGGGTCTGTCGTGTTCGCAGAACAGGCTGCCGTTGATGTAGTGGAACCGGTCCCCGGGGACCAGCCGGTTCCGGCAGGTGGAACACGTGAAACACTGCGAGGGGGGGGCAGAGAGACAAGCGTTCACTAGCAGGCCCCAGTGCTCAATCCTATTATGTAATAACACCTTGTGAGCGCAGACATAGGTATTTGCAGGTGTCGGTGCGGGTTGAAGGTGGATAATACAGGAACAATTAATAAAGTAAATACCCAACGTGTGAATGTAAAAGCTTGCACGCGTCTTAAAAATGGCAGTTGCTAACAAGAAGTGGTGGTCATAAGAGGTGCATGCATCATAACATTGGAAATCAGACTCCAATGGAAAAACCCCACTGATTTTGTCAAGGAAACCAGGGCATTGCTAACTATGAAGATTGGCCTTCAAAAATCCGTCATCTCTTTATCTCTACGAAGCCAAACTGATGTTATTGACAAGCATCTTCACACTCCCATACAGTAGGTGGCGGTATGAACCTTTATAAAGGACCTTTATATTTGTTAGTGATCCGCCAATAAGCATAGAGGAAAAGAGAAACACAGCCAAACACATCATCTGCTGTGACAACAATAGTGAGTCAGTTAGGTCAGAGCTATGGACTACAAAAAGATGTTTGCTTGGCTATGAAAAGCCAGTCATAATTGTTTATCGTATTGGCTACACAAATGCTATAAAATATACGGGTCAATTCAATCCAGTGCAATGTTATCTATCCCTGTAAAGGCAATTGTTAAGAAGAACACCAGTAATCAAAGGCCTTTTTTCAAAAAAGATCTGTATAGCATTCTTACGTTGCAGTTTAAAACTTGATAAAGGGGGTTTACCTTGAGGTGGTACACGTTGCCCTGCGCCCTCATCACCAGCTCACTGGCTGGAATGGACTGACCACAAGCGCTGCAAGCTCCGCTGTTTCCAAATAATCTGAGAGAAAAAGAAAGGTGTTACTACAGAGCCACTGTAGGCATCCTCACAGATGTAGCCTTGTGAAATGGACTGTGGCGTCCACACTTGTGTCTGTTCAGTATGTGAATGAAAGGAAACTAAGTTCAATGCAAAGTTCAATATTCCCCAGCTGCATTTCTTACAGGAAGGAGAAAACATACCGGGGGAAAAATAAATAGAACATCATCACTTTATCGACAGAGAAATGAATTCTGTACATCTCCACGAGCATCTCGCTCTGAAACGGCATATTACTTTTGCTGCACATTTTTTTGCAACCTAATAATAACCTGGAACATAAGCAATCAGGACCTAAGAGGATTTGATTGTACATCCAGGCGGAGACGTAGTGCTTTTGCCATTAGGACGCCTGTGAATGCTCCGTCAGTGCCGTGTTTCCATTAGAAACCAGTAGCTACTCGGGTTGATATATAATGTGCATGGGTTAACCTTTTCAATCATGGTGTCAACACTTTAGATTTGCTTCTGCTCATCTCTTTCGTCCCTAACCTTCTCCCTCTCTCTCTCCCCCTGCCTCTTGATAATGAAATGCTTGCTCCAGCTTCCCTTCTATCTTCCTTCTGAGTCCACAATTTAGATTACTTCATCTCGGTGAGCAGCAAACTGAATGAAATTTCGATTTGAGCAGAAAGTAATTTACTGGGATCTGGACCCATTTGTCATCATATCTCACCGGGTGTTTGCTCTATCACTGCACTTTTCCTAAGCAATCAAATAAGACCACGGCATCTGACATGCTCCGGAGAGAAGGGGAGAGAGGGATGGAAAAAGAGAAGGGATTGGGGGAGTGGTTAACATTGGTGTGTGTGTGTGTGCATCAGATCAAACTTGTTTGGCTTAGAAGAAATTAACCAGAAACAGATAGTGTTGTAAGACTTACATTTTTTCTGTTGAGACATTCTCGAGGACAGTTTTATGAAAAGTATTTAGCAAATTCACAAAGACACGGAGCGAGGGAATAAATGCTTCTACCATTCCGACCGTAACCCAAGCAGTTGTTAGATATATTGACGAACAAACAAGTCAGAGCTCTCTGCAAAGGGACACAGAAATGGCTTTCATTAAGAGAGCCTAGGCAGAAACAAATTGTGTCTTGGCATCATTTGGAATGGCTCCATCAAAACTCAATTTCAGAAACTAATTAACTGGAGACTGTTGTCACAACACTGCCAACTCTCGCTTTCACTGGGACGAGCATGAGCGTGGAAATGAACGTATATCGCTTTAAGACTTGTGCAATCTGTGGAGAAACAAAACGACACCCTCCCGCAACGACATTTCTGCATATCAAAGCCGAGTTGTTTGAAAATTCAAACTTTGCTAAAATGGAAAATATGTTTTCATATTTTGTCATGTCATGTCATTCCTGGAAGAGTTTCCTTTGCGTGATTGCTTTTGAAAGAGGTCGAAACATGGCTATAGGAAGTGTTCACCGCGGCCTTTTATATTTCACCACAGTGTGGAACCAATACCAGGTTAATTATTTTATCATGGGATGGCTCTTGATATAGAATTTGATTTAAGGAGCTGAAGCCTTTAGGTGCTAAATGAAGCTGCTATATTGGTTTGAACTGGGGCTTTAATGGCCTCCTCTGCCAGTGACCTACAGCGCTGAGGTGAAGCAGACACCCTGGGTCAGTATAATTAAGGCCAAGGGACTCTTTAATTGCTGTGACACATCTTGTTTCAGCTTTTTCCTGAAAAAAAAAGAAAGAAAAAATAAATCAGTGGCTCTTACCATGTTTCTGGCTGGCTGACTTAATCTTGATTTTTCTGTTTTCTCGCTCTGTGTCTCTGACTTTGCTACGCGTTTGATTCAATTAAATAACAAAAAAAAACATTTGAAGCTGTCTGTTGTCTATATAGGCAACAACTATTGGATTTCATTTCAGCACTGACTGCTAGGTGAAATATAGCATGGCTTGCTGCTGCTAGGCTGTCTGGTAAATGCAGACCTCATTCACCAAGGCCTTTGAGTAGGGTAAAATTACCCCACAACAATGATTTCTGCAACACAGTCCATTAAAAATGCCTCTCTACATCAGCAGCCAAAGCACCTTAAAAGCACTAGGCCATATTGATACTGAAGCGGGGCTTTGCATAATGGCAAGAGCTGCATTAGAGAAAAGGGTGGAGGGGCCGGGGTGGGGAGATTGCTAGGATGAGGGAGGGCGCGCGTGGATCTGTGTTGTGCATGTGTTTTGGGAACAGGGGGATGGGGAAATGTGTGTGTGTGTGTGTGTAGGGGTGGAGGGTGGGTGGTGATGGGGGATCAGCCAAATTACACTTGGTTAATTCAGAGTAACAGATCTGGCCCCAAGTGAATTGAAGGCCTTGAATTAATTCTGTTATGACAAATCAAGATAAACGTTTCCCCTAAATTGCATGCGATTTAATTAATTTCTGAGATCCCGGTTTTTTCCCTGGCCTAATAGTTCACATTCTCTTGTGCTGTCATAGTGCTCGAGTGGGCAGACTTCAAAGTGATATTAAATAACCAACTATTAGATTTACCTCACACGTTCTATTGGAAAAGTGCCATTTAATTACCTAGGCTTATTCAATTAAGGGGACAGCATTCTCCCTGAATCCAGCAGCCACAAGTAAATTAATTCTCCCTCTACTAGCAGCCCACAGAAATAATATCACCGCAAGCTTAAAACAACATGATCCCCGCAGCTAAAGCAACTTTGGCTTAAAGTTTGACATTAAAGCTTTTGGTGGCAGCGCTGCATGCAAACAGAGATGCTGCTTGTCATCTGATGTGTGTTAGTCCTTTTGATGGATAGGAGATGGGTATCATCCCAGGCCAGGCTTACATCCCATTATAGCTGTGATGTGATTCGACTTCTGATCAATATAAGCATTTTCTTATCAGCTGCATTGATAGAAGTCTAGAGCTTAAAATGTATGTTGTTTGGGCAGTATAGCAGTCCATTACAAAAATGGGTCTGGCCCTTTAAGATGAGGGGGGGGAACAGCGGCAAATGGCATTCGCAATAATCCCTCTTCTCTATCTGTCTTTCTCTCTTGCTCTCTCTCAAAAGCCAATTTGGTTAATTAAATGTTTTGTTTGCAGTGTGGCTCTCATTCATTTCGGACACGTCATTGGGAGCGGATACAAGCCAGGGACCAGATCTCATTAGATAAAACCCATCAGGACTAAAGGAAATGGAGGGGGACTATAATTAAAGCATTTAATTGTGTAGACTCACTGTCAGATGTTTTCTTCCCCCGCTCCTATCTTTATCTCTGCAGAGATCTCGTGGTTCCATAATATGCGTTTTAGCTCTTCCAGTGAGCGTACTCTCATTACAAGTGGAAAGGTGTATGCACATTTTACCCCCTTCCAATTGTAATTACGTTATAGTCCCATAATGAATGAAGTACCCCATTGACTCCCTCTTCCTCTTTATGAGATGGGTGAGTGAGAGCGCACAGGCACACTTTAGATTGGGAATGATCCGTGGGATTTAAATAGCATGTTCACGTTGACTTCCCTGAAATCATTAGTTCAAAAATAAATACAACTCAGATTCACATATATTCTAACTTGAGAAAACAGAAACATTTAACAAAAAAACATTGCTATTAAAGAATAATAGTAAAAAAACAGTAAATGAACAGGGTTGATATTAATACCATTTTTGCGCCCCAGGGTGGTCCAAGAAGTATTTGAACTTTCAGTAAACTGTGCCGTCACAGCACACTGCTCTACATTACCAGGATGAGTGTCATCAATAAGCTCTGGTTGGGTGTCTGGCACACCTACTAGAATATTTAAAAAGGCTCTCTTTGCTAATTAAATGGTGTTTTTCTGTTACATAAAAACAAAAAATAAAAAGATAATCTGTACCGGACAGGAACACTCCACATGTGTCTCGCAGAGCTAACATACATCTTAGAAGGGCAATGTTGTGTCCTCCTGTTGACCATGAGCAGCAGACAGACATGCAGATGTCTTCTGCTCTGCTCTGTCAACAGCAGTGAGTTTGACCAGGGAGACTTCCACCAGGAGACTCTAATGAACCCTGATCATGGTACGAACATTTGAGACGCATGTTCTGCTGAAAAACAACCAACCTTGCTGATCATTGCATGAGTTGCCTCATTTTGTCTGTTTATAACTTGATTTACAATTGTTTTTTTAAATATTTGAGGACTTTTTGAAGTACATTTGTGAAATGAATTATCTTATAAAGTCAATGATAATGAACACGAGTGGTAATGTGAATAAATAGCCTTTCCTAATATTCCATATTGTAATGCACGTTCCTCTTTTTAACGGCACAGCTCTGCATCTTTTAAATGTAATTCTGCTGTACTGCACATTTGAAGATTTTCAAAAGAAAATTGTCATTGTTGTTTTTACTTTTGTGTATTTTAATATATTTCTTGTAAACATTTATTTTTATCATTTTAATACATTTTATATATTTGTTCTTTTTTTACAACTTAATTCCTCCTACTGTGTTTATGTATGCACCATTACACTCCAAAGCAAATTCCTTGTATGTGTAAATCTATTTGGCAATAAACCTGGTTCTGATAGTGATAATGGAAGTGCTTTTCTCACCTGATATAGTCGTTTCTGCAGAGGATCATGCCGCTTTTTGTGTAGCACGACGTGCCGATTTCTCCCAGCTGGGCCTGGCAGCAGGAGCACTTGAGGCAGCGGCTGTGCCAGTAGCTGTCCATGGTGTAGAGGAGGAAGCGGTCTGCGATTTTGCCCCCGCACCCTGCGCACCGCTTCCAGGACAGAGAACCTGCGCCCACCGGCGGGGGCTGGCTGCTGCCTCCGGGATTAACCATCGTCCCTGAAAACACACACAGAAAATGATGTTGACAGTCTGCACCCAAGAAGTTGCTGTTCATACTTTTTTTACCAGACAAGTATTGTTTTGTATACAATAGGGTCAGGACCTGGGATGGGCTTTAGGGCTGTGCCAGATACTTTAACAACAAGGTAATACGATCATGTACGCCACAAGTGAATTTATCAAATATCACATTTTAAAGTCCAGCCCCTTGAACATCATGTCAAATCAGATTGCAAATCGTACTAAAATAAATCTCATAAAGGGAAGAGTTCTGAGTCCTGTTCTGCTACAACAGAGCCACGAGTCATTTAGTGAACTAATCTGCCCTTGATCTCTGTCTCTGTCTCCCTGTGCTGTTGCTTCATTGGACCTCTCATGGTGAAAGACTGTTAACTGTTCACCCCAGGAGCCAAAGGAACAATTATGCAGCATTTGCTTTTGCTGAGCTATCCTAAGAAAGTGTAAATAGCACAACACTTCACCACACAATCCCTCACTCTATTGCAGTTTGAATAGCTGGGAGGTGGTTATGGGCAAAACACAAAGGAATACTATATGAAAAGCCTGGAACAGCCTCAGAGTGACATGTGAAACTGTTTGGCTTGTTGGCTCTGTGTTGACCAACACTTGATGCATGCAGGCCTTTTGACCTGAGCAATGAAGATGATCCGCCCTGCAGCTAAGAAAAACAATATTTAACAGCACCTTAATAGGCAACATGGCCCTGATATACCCTCCTGTAATGACGCTAAGTGTTCTAATCTAATGCAATGCAGGCATTTGTTTCACCCACAAAATTAATGTGGGCTCTTTCAAATGTAATCCCCTCCAATTTGGTGAGGCAGACTACATGCCTGGATAAAGCCAAATCTTTGTTGAAAGGCAGGTAGGCTAATTAGAGTTGGGGAGAGGGGGGAGAGGGGGGGTGCACACAGAAAAGCATTCAGTAAGCCCATTAGCGATGGCTCTTAGGGACAAACCACAGTACCTTAGTGCTGATTAAATCTAAAAGGAGATGAATCAAAAAGCCGACCTGAAAGTGACTCCCTGGATAAACAAGACGGACCATCGTCAAGTTTCATTCAGAGAGGGGAGATGGAGGGGACAGCAGGGGAAGAGAGGAGGGGGGTGGCTTTTAACTTAAATGGGCTAACTCAAGTAATTACACGGGCAGGCAATTTGGGCGCAGAGACCAAGTCATGGAAACAGAACGAGAGGGAGGAGGAGGAAAAAAACACATCAGGCAGCCATGTGCTGAAACCGTCCTGTGCGTGTCTGCTGCTTTTGACGGAAAAGAAAAGAAATGTAAGCCTTACATTGGCGTTTTTACGTGGTAACTGCATTAAGAGTGGATATGGAGGATGATAATGTCACACGAATCACAACAAAGGCTATCATATCACACATCACCGCTACAATTATTGAGAAAGAAAGATCAGACAAGGCTAGTTTCCAGAGTAAACTAGAAATAATACAAACTGATATTTTAACCATGCGTCAATACTACCCACCTCGTTTATCTCTTTTCAGAGTAATGGCTGTAAAGTTAATGACTTGCAGGATTAGGCAGGTTAACAGGTAGACCACAACAGTCCCACAAAGTACAGGTAAAAAGCGGGTAGTCTCGCGGACGGCCGGCCTCCAGCTCCGCGCGACAGAGGGCTCGAGCTCGGATATTCACTGGCAACAAGCGGCGTGCGAGCAAATGGAGTTATCAGATAGTATTTCCACTGGAAGGTTCCCGTTTTACTGTTGCTGCTTTAGTGTTCTTGTCTTCACTGAAACAAAAGGAGTCCATTGCAAGACGTAATTAGAGGTATGCGCTGTGCCGTAATGTCCTTCAGACGGAATGTTTGGCAAAAGAAAGAGAAAGAAATAACGCGGCTCGCGCTGAAGCTGAATCTGACTGTCCTCCGTCCGCTCTGGTCCCGTCCGTTAGCTGCTTGTTCTACATGTGTCGCTGTCTCGCTGACAGGAAGAAACCTCCAGTAAAACCCCTTTTAGCCGCGTGACGAAGGTCCCACGACAGCCAATCGGCGCGCAGTCCATTTAACAGGAATAACAAATCCAGCCAATCAGAGGGAGGAGAGATTGACTTTGACACGCAGCAGAGAGGGATGGAAACAGAGGTGAATAGATGGACCCGAGAGGTGAGAAAGAAACGGAGTGTCAAATGTATACACTTTAAAACATTGAGAGATTACAAGACTCCAAACAACATTATTGCCATCTAAAAATCTTTAGCAGTGTGTTCAGCTAAAGTAGTTGCAACACTTAGGCCTATTTGTGTTTTTATTCTTTTGTTTTAATCGTCCATAAGGTTCATAAATGGATTCATTGGCTCTGTTAGCTGGATATTATTGTTATCCTATCAAAACTGATGGATTGCATGTTTGACTAGTTTCTTCTAAAAGCACATTGAACCTTTTCAAAATTCTAGCAGCATGGCATCATCCAGTAAACTGCATTCATCTCACGTCTGAGTTTAATTAGTTGACATTCAATAACTACTTAGTTTACCGAGGGTGACTCCAACCTCTGGGAAATATCAGGGACTAATAGCTGCGTAGTGGCGCCATCGTCTGTCACTGAAAGTAATCGCATGCGGCCTGCTGTCGTTTACAACCTCATTAAGCCTCAGGTCATTGGTTTCAACACCTATTAAGGCTAATCTGCAAGACCTCGATTTGGCTGAGATCCTTTAATTCATTCAGTCTTGCAGTTTTAGTCCCCCCCCCCATCATGTGAGACTTAAAAGACAAGTTAAAGTGGAAGTGATTGCAACACCTTTTAATAAAAATAATGTGATGTGACATGTTTCCTCACATGATGTTGAAAGGGAATTCAGCTAAATAAAAGTGCTGCAGTGTAGCAGCCAAAAAACATTCTGTGAAAAACAAGTGACGTATTCAGTTTAAGAAAGTGTTGCTATTGGAGAAAAGTTGCCTGAGAGAAAAGTTGTTTGAGATTCACTGGGTTGACCGGTTTTACATGACAAAACAGCTTGATTATAAGATGCCCCTGGCTTCATTAGAAAGACATCAGATTTATAAAGATTATCTTTTTCTTGACTTTAATTGTTTAATTATTCCTGCGGCTCCAAGGAGATTGTGCTGCATCAGGCTGATTTCCCTTTGGCAAAGCCAATGCTACTCCACCTTGGTTTGAGCCACACTCTCCTGACATCCTCATCAAGCCTCTCACTCAGCAGAACAAAAACCGCAGAAGATGGCAAAAGAATATCTTTTCCACCAAGGAATGATTAATTGATATAAATGATTAAAACAGAGGGAAATTATGAAATGAATTTGAAAGGGGGCCTCACAGGAAAAGCTTTGTTTGTTCCAGGCCTATTTTAATGAGCTTTTCATAACTGGGCAGGAGAAATTACTCTGCACGTTCTTTTTCTGGAGCTCTTTTGCAAAATAATTATGGCTTGTTGAAGTGAGGAGGAGGAGGTGGAGGGGTCAGGGAGCTGTTTGGGGGAGAGGGTTAGGAGATGAGGAGGGAAGAGGGAAGGGGGGTGTTCCTGCAGAAATGTATCATCTCCTTCCTCCGCTGAGATCTCTCTGTCCTGTGGCAGTTTCCAAGCAGCTGCATTATGAAGCACACCAGATTAAAACGAAACAGCGGCACACAACAATGTGGCGGCACACTATTTCAATGTTTGAACAGGACAAGAGAGCGTCAGACGTGGCTCGCCGTGTTGATACTCCCCACAGGGGTGATCTCACCGAGATGAAAAGGAGACCATGGTGCTTCATAATGAAGCTGCTTGCCCTGTGGGAAAAAGCAAGAAAACCACAATCAACATGGTGGTTAACTTCGGATTGGGATTCACTCTGTGTTATATTCTATGACACTGAGCCACAAAGAGGCCAATTTCAATCTACAAGTCTACACACCACAGGCAATCTTCTGACTAAACAACACGCAGGTCACCATAACTTCTCCCACAACTTGATGCTATTTCGCAAACATTGTGTTGTTTACCGCAAAATAGCATCAAACTCCCTTTACTGCATGTGTGTGTGTGTGTGTGTGTGTGTGTGTGTGTGTGTGTGTGTGTGTGTGTGTGTGTGTGTGTGTGTGTGTGTGTGTGTGTGTGTGTGTGTGTGTGTGTGTGTGTGTGTGTGTGTGTGTGTGTGTGTGTGTGTTGTCTTTTACAGAGAATGATATTCAGTTAGCTGAGCCAACTGATGAGAGGAGATAGGATTCAGATTATCTTCAGATAAAGACGGCGCGCTCCATGACTGAACGGAGAATGGCGGGCTGGGCAGAAAGATCTCCAAATGAAATCTGCTAAATGAGTGACTGGCTACTTACCTGAAAACACATTAGGAATATTTTGACATTTTGGAAAATACACTTACTTGCTTTCTTGCCAAGAGGTAGATGAGAAGATCAATACCACTCTTGTATCTGTATGCTAAATATGAAGCTAAACCCAGCTGTCAGTTAGTTTATCTCTTAGCATAAAGACTAGATACAGAGACTGGTACAAGAGGGAAAGCAATGTGATCTAATGGAAGGTGTATAAAGAGCATATCTCTTTTTAGGGACATTTCACATTCAATGTATGGTTGCAGTTTTCAAATTTGGTTACTTGGTGAATTCAAACCAAACTACTTTGTTTTGCTAAGGAATCCATCATGGTTTAACGAAAAAAAGTTACCGGTGGACTTTTCGTTTGAAACTGGACACAAATCACAGCCAGCTGGGTTGAAGTCCTGTGTTCGTTTGATTCATCCACCCACCACATCCTCAAGCTTACATGGACTTTCTTGGTCTTTATATGTAAATATGACACCTGACTTCTGGAGCACTTGCAGTGTCAAATTGTCACTTAAGAAGCAACAACATGTGCATCAATAACCCGTGAGATGGCTTAAGAAATGAAGTGGTAATAGCAGGCTCGGGAACAAATGTATTTGATATCAATTTCATGCCATTGAGCTGAATTGAATGCTACAATGAGGACGTTGTTAGCCTAGCCTAGCCTAGCATTAGCTCTATTAAAAGGTTTCAGGTTTTTGACAGATAAGACAAACAGCAACAACATGTTAATTATGCTGGTTTTGTTAGCTTGGTACAATGCCAGACTTGATGTCTCTTCTGTTTCCAGCCTTTATGCTAAGCTAAGCTAGCCGTCTGTTGGCAGTAGCTTGAATGTATGACAGTGGTGTCTATCTTTCATGTAACTCTTAGTAAGTTGTGAAGAAATGATGGGCCTAATTTAATTCCTGAAAAACTATATCTTTATATGATTTTGCAACATTTGGAAAAAGCCATCATTCAGCTCCTTTAAACGTGTGATTGTTTTCATATGAAAGTCTGGAGATGAAGTTGAAAACAAACACAAAGAGATATTTCTGGTGCATTTGTGGGATGCATTAAGACCACATTCAGTTCAATTCATAGAAGATCAGTACACTCCAGTATGATGCTATGTGTAGCTGAAAAAGCATACAACAATAAGCACATTCAGAATGCCTAAAAGAGTGTAATCAAACCCTTCAATCTGAGTTCACGGCTGTGTTGCTCTCTCTTGTGGTGAGTTCTTTATACTCCTGCCATTTTCCCATGTGGTTCCAGCTCCACTTGGGTCATGAAATAATGAAGCAGCCAGAAGTGTTTTGCTCAATATGCCGATCTCAAAATATGTCTCACTTCATTAATTTGGTAGAGTTGATGTTGTTCATTTGTAATTAAACACAGAAGCAAGTGCGCTTAAGTAAATAGAAATCAACTCAATAAATACCCCCCTGTAAGGCAGCTGTTTTCTTTCAAGTCTGTGCTGATGATTTGACAAGCTCTGGGCACTGCAACAGCTCTGTGAAGAATGTGTCAGGACCAATACAGCGGTCTGAAGATCACCAGATAAAACGATGTTTGAATCTACCACAGTATGTGGTTCACTGTACTTTAGACACAAGTCACATGCTCATGATGCAAATAAGTCAGCAGTGAGCAAGTAGGTATTGGTAGTATTTATTGGCCTTAATAGTATTGTTTAAAGGGGACATGTTCTGCATATTCTCTTTCATATTAGTATTTAGTGTCTCTCCTGTGACATGTCTCAATGCTTTAATGTTCAAAAAGCTCTTTATTTGTTCTCATACTGCCTGTGCTGCAGCACCTCTTTTCGCCCTCTGTCTGAAACCAGAGCCCGGTCTGCTCTGATTGGATATGTCCCGCATATCTCATACAATGTGTTGGACAAAAAGCCAATACAAGCAAGAGTGTTACACAGTGATGTCACTATGTTAAAGAAGTATACAAAGGAATCCAACAGAGTGGTGCAGTGATGACGGATTTTCAATGGCCAACCAGGAAGTAAGCATCGCAAAGGGGTTCCTTACGGACCGTCCACACAGCAGCGTTAAAAAAATCTTGGAGGTGGGCGTATCTGAAGCTTGGGGATTTTTTGCGAGCAAGGCACCAACAACCAATCACATGAATCTCCCGCCCCCGACATACGAAGCAAAAAAGTTTGAAGTAAACTGGATATAAACTCCCCAAACAGGCGAAAACATACCACTGTCTCTGCCACCTCCCTCCATGCCTGGCTCCTCCGGTTTGTATCCCGGTAGGCAGTGGCGGCCGGTCCATAGGGGCGCTAGGGGCGCCGCCCCACCTCTTCCCATATTGATAAAAATAAATAATAATTAAAATTAAAATAAAAAAAAAAAAATATGTTTAAAAAAATATATATGTTTTTATTTTTATTTTTAATGAACAAGGTAAATATTATATAATTGGTATCAGTAAAATGTATAATCTACAATAAAATCTCGTTTAAAATTGTGTTACGATGTCTAAAGTTACTGATAAGTCACATGTTTCCTGCCTGGCCTTGCCCATGCACCTTCTCTCGTCTGGGCGCTAAGAGAGGAGCCTTCAACCAGTGCAGCAGCAGCCACCAGCAGCTGACTGTTGCTATCTGTAACGTGTAAACTATGCCGCGAAAATATAA